GCATGACGACGCGCAGCTTCGAATTGCAATTATGAAATGACCGACTGCAGTAATACCATTGTAGAGACGCTGCTGTAAACAACACAGCGATTAGGAAACACGTTCAACATTAAATGAACGGTCATTACTGATTCTCCGTCGAAATTTCGTCGTCGAAAGAGGTCGCGAAAATACACACCATCGTGCACAAAGTATTTGGACACCTCTGTGTTGTTGCATAACACAGTCATGAAAGTGTCCGAACACTTGTAGAATATTTCCCTGTTACGAATATATTGTGTGTGTTTTATATATATGAAGATTTCATCGACAGTGTGACGAGCTGCGAATCATTGAAAATTTTTATCTGCACATATACCGTGTGTTAAAAATTGTCCACGAACTTTGACGAAACTACACGACTTACGTCGTTTGTCACAGCGTAATCGACACAATCGGGAAACCTCCGAGAAAGCACAGATAGAGAGAGAAAGAGAGAGAGAAAAGGAAGAGCGGAGAAAATCGAGACTTGGATTGGTCGACCATGGCCCAGAACACGAAGACTCACGTGGCCCGTGTCCTCAAGGTACGTCGTCCTCTGGAATGCCGACTTACGCAATTGATCGCGTCGGGACGTCTCTTCGGTTTTCGAATACTAAGTATCAAGTCGACTTGTGAGACTTGCGAGACTTGGTCGTTAATCACACAGGCTTCTAGAAAAAAGTCCAGTCACATATATACACACATATATATAGCAATCTGTTCCATGCCATTAACGTTTACCCGCTGGAAATGAATTTGCAGAAGTTCGTGACAAACTCGTTCAGAGCAACCCGAGATGATCTTGTTTGCTCAAACCAATAAATTCAACCAATTTGTTTCAATTTGTTTCAACCAATAAATTCAACCGACGTGCCATTCCCGCGTCGAAAGCAGATGAGAAAAAGAATTTTGACGCAATGCTTTTCGGAATTTCAAGATATCTCAGGTATTTCTTGCCTTCGACGAAAATTCGTATTGTATCGGGACGGTTAATCGCAGAACGTTGGTTTATCCATTAAGATAGAGCGAGTATCTTGCAATAATTATAATTAACGATTAACATACGTACGTAATAACTGAAGAATTAAAAATAATTCGTTAGTCACGAGTTGTTCACACTTTAGCACGTTCGATGATAAGGCGAATGCCCATGACGCGATGAATGACGCGCGTCACCTCGGAACGACAGTAAATTAAGTAATCAAACCGTAAATTAGTTCAGGCTGCTCGGTCTGACTATTGCGACTATTATCTACTTGCGCGGCTGATCCGCCGAATGCTCTGTTTCCTTACCACTGATCGATGTATATTCGCTCATCGAATCGATACATCTCCAAATCACACAATATACACAATTACAGTTCTCACGATCATGATAATTCCTTTTGATAATCCCTCGACTCTCGAATGACGAAAGTCTGATTGATATTATCTCGTGCATTTAGCACGCGTTTAGCACGTCAATTAAATTCATGCATTTCGATTTATCGAATTAT